GGTCAACAGGCCCGAGATGCTCTGCTGCTCATCATGTCTCTGTCTGCCTCTGAGCCTCGTGTCGCTCAGCACATTGCAGAGAACACATACTTCTGTCCTGTAAGTAAATGAACAACATAAAAAGATAACTGTTTAAGAATTACAGACATTTTCATACACAGTCCCCTATTTTCAGAGGCTTGTTTTTAATACTTGGATGATTTCCTGCCTCAAAATGCTCTGCTCAGTCTTTACTGCTGCCACCTTCAGCTGCTGCTTGTTTGTGGGTCAGTTCTGTGTTTAATAAGTTGGGTTGAGATCATCTGAATTACTTGGCCAACGAAGATTATTCCATGTCTTTGCCTTGAATAACTATTGGGTTGCTTTGGGTCATCATCATTTGCACTGTGGAGCTTCATCTGTGCAGTTTTGCAGCGTGTGTCTGATTCTGGACACTTTACACTTCATCCAGCTGCTTTGATCTGCAGTCACATAATTAATAAGCATTAGTGCCACTGGCAGCATACATGCCATCACATTACCTTCCATATATCTTACACACTGTGTAAGACACAGTGAGATGTGGGGACAGTGAAAATGTAGGGGACAGGAGTAAGATACTTACTACTATGTGTGTGTGTGTGTGTATGTGTGTGTGAGTGTGTGTGTGTGGACATACCTCCTGTTCTTGAGTGGAACCGGTTATTTGCACATTGTTGTGAAACTTCTGTGGTTGTACTTGTGAAGGCGTTTCCTGACTGTAAACCATAATGATGACACACCTGTGTTCTTGACTCGGCTCGATGTTGTGATGGGTTCACAGTTTTCTTTTGGTGTTTCAGCCAAACGATGACCTCATTCACTTAGATTGACACCTGACTGACAATCAAATGGAGAATTCCAGTAAAAAGCTAACACATAGAAGTTCAACTCTCTATTTTTTTTAATCTGTTTGAAACAAAGGACCAGGCCTCACCTGGCCATAAAGCTGCTTGTCAGTCAACTATTGAGTTATTTCAGGGCCTTTGAAAATGAGAGACAGCGAAAAAAATCTCTGACTTTTGTTAAATTAAATTAAATTAAGTTAAATTTGTTGAATTAAATCCCTGCACTTTGATCACATGTTGATTGTTTGCTTTGATCTTTGGTGGTGCTATGAGGCCAAACTAGATAAATTGTGTCATTGTCAAAAAACTTATGAACTTAACTGGATGTGTACAAGTCTCAAAAATGTAAATGATGGTTGAATGTGCATAAAGTTTAGAAAGAAAGCAGCTAAGTCTAGAAAAAGGTGCTTGTGTGAGTGAGGCATAAAAAGCTCTAATAGAGCTCAAAACTGCGATATAAGAACCACATCATTTAACACTTGAAGAGACAACCAATCAGGGTGAAGGATACTACTGATTAACGAATCACAGTGTAGTTAATATATTACAGGGGTACCCAGGTAACCTGTTTTCTCAGTTTTCTCAAAGACATTGTGCGACATTATGAATATGATGAGGACAAAGTGGTGTTAGGTTAAGACTTCTGTGTTTGCATTATGCTGTGAAACTTTAAATATGTGAGATTTATGTCACATCTGTAAAGTGTTTAAAGCTATTCTTCACAAGCTGAGCCACCAGTTTATCTCACATAGACCCCCATTAGCCCAGCTAAACTGGGTTAATCTCTACATGCCTTCCAGCCTGCAGAGAAAAAGGGCATTTATTCCTCTGCTGAAGTGAAGCAACTGGCTGTTTTCTGTTTCTCTGTTTGTCAGCAAGATTATACACACACTTCATAAAACTTACTTGAGAGGATTGAGCACAAACTAAGAAAGAAAGAATCAAATACATGTTTCTCACAGATCTGGATAACTTTTATTAAAAGTGCAAACTGCACGGATAAGAAGGGAAATGAGAGGAATTAGGAGAATAAAAAGGCCCTTTAACAGCCTGACCCTTGATCATTTAACAGATTTTTTATGAACCAGATGGTTGTTTAATGAATACAATCAGTAGTTTTTGAGCTCAGTGTATGAGCTCCCCCCCCATTCATCTCCCCTCTGTATTGTAATCTCATTAGCGCAAGTTATGCAATAAACTAATGAGCTCATACTGCTTCCTCTGGGACTGTGTGTGATGGATACAGAGAGAGGGGAGAAGCAGATAACTGAGGAAAAACTACTGTGGAAAGTGATGAAGGGGGCTTAAGAGGGAAACCCAAAGAAACAGCAAAGAGAAATAAGAGAAAACGGGAACATTTGAAGAAAAATCGTGTAATTGAATGAATCTTACTATTAGTAAATGATTAATTAAGCAGTCAGTTACTTGAAAAAACAATTAAAGTAATTAAAGAAAATATAAAACCATATGTATATGTGATAAAATGTCATAACAATAAAAAAAAAGACCCTTAAATGTTACAGTAATGTAAGTACATGTTTGTGTGTTTCAGTGTTTATCACTGCGTCAGCCATGTTGGCCCCAACCCTCCCAGTTCCTGACTGTGTGTGAGAGAGAGACCCACGGTGGGGGTTTCATATGTGAAAGGGCGAGCAAAGACATCTGAGCACGTGCCACCTGTGTGTGCTTGTGTTTGTCCATGTGTCGGATTTAAGCCCATGTGACCACTAGCTGACCTCAATCTTTATGCAGAGAGCAGCTTAGTAAATCAGCGTGAGATTGGCCCCAACACAAAGAGGGATTAGCAAGTCTGCACATGATTGGACGCCTGCCCGATTGCTAACGAGACCCGAGACGGCAGCTGTTGACGACCAGCGCCGCCACCACTGCTGCTGTTTATACTGATGTTGATCACCTGCTCTCCTCCTCTCTTCTTCCTTTTTCCTGATATCTCATCCCTGTTTCTTTTTTGTCTCAAATGAAACAATATCTTTCTTTTCTTTTTAGAAACAACTTCTCGCTCCGTAGGCTACTTCTTTGCTCACCTCTCTGTTTAAAGGACCAGTTTGTGAAATGCCATTTTTAGTGTGAGCCATTTACCATTTAGCTTAGCTTAGCATAAAGACCTGAAACACAAGGAAAGGCCTCTCATGGTTTTGTCTAAAGGCTGCAGCTCTTGGACTCACTGACTAACAGCTATATCCATTTTCTTAATGTATGATAAATCAAAAAAGACAAATAGTTCCCACTGAAATATTTAGACAAGCCATTACCAAAGTAAAGAGCGCTGTGGCCCATTTAGAAACCAGAAACTCTGAAATCTTCACTTTAATCATTATATAGGAGAAGGTGGTGTATTTCCTTGAAATAACACAGAGCTATAAATTGCTAATGCTTACCAGTTACATGCTAGGGTGACCAACCGTCCTCTTTTCCCCGGACATGTCCACTTTTCATGTTCTGTCCGAGGCGTCCGGGGGGACTTTCGAGATGGATGAAAATGTCCGGGTTTTCCTATAGGCCTACAGAGGACACATATCTGCAACGCCATCCCTGAACTGCTGTGTTGTAGGTGGTTGTTCAAGTCACTCTTGAAGCTCTTAATGAAATCCAGTACTGTGGCATTTCTCAGACTTAAGTAACCATGGAACAGAGAAAATATTCCCAATCATACTTTGACTGGAAGAATGGTGGCGTGCAGACAAAATTAATTGAGGTTAGAAATGCCAAATGAGACAGCAGAAACCATTGCACAATACCTCACTGGTACCTCACTGGTAAGCTTTCTTATACAGATGAGGCATTATTTCTGTAACATTATTTAATTCCACAGGTTTTTAAGTTATTTTTTTGCACTTGTTGACTTGTAAAAGCCTATATGACATTTTTCATTTCACCATTCATTAACCGCACAGAGAAGGCATCTTTTAAATATGTTAAATTTTTCTTTAAACAAACAGTATCATTAAAATTCTTCATGACTGGGCCAAGTGTCCTCTTTTTTGGAAATCAAAATATGGTCGCCTTACATATGCAAAGTGTCATGGCCAATGTGTGACCAAAACTCAACCTGTAGCAGCAAATTTCAGTCAGAGTAATGAGTACTATCACAAACTAACCACCTCCTATTTACAGTTTTAATACACATGTTGTATAAATACATATTATTATATAGATATGCAACTGTACATAGTTTCTATGAGTAATTTTCAAACTGAACTTCTGTTGTTGCTGCAGTCCACCAGGGGGCCCCGGTCCCTGATAAACAGAAAGAAGGGAAGCAGAGAAGGCAGGAGGAAATGAACAATCTAGAAATACAAAGAATCATGAGAAAAACAACAAATATAACACGGACCACGACAGTATTTGCCACAAGTCACTTCCACCTTTAGTCAAAAGCATCCAGAAACACCAAAATCAGCAAGCTGTAAAATAACATTTCAGCAGGAGCTGTGGCTCCAAAGTCAGCATGGACTTTTGGGATTAGGGAACTAATGTTTTAAGGGACACAATAGTAGTGTTAAATAGTAAATAAAAATTTGTTAAAGAAATCTATAATGTCAGTGAACTTTTCATTTAAGATTGATGAACCCTTATAAGCCAACTTGGTGTTACCCCCACAGGCATCATCAGGCTGATGCCCGTGCAGCTACCCTTTGGAAAACCTGAAAACTATTGTAATTTAAACCAATCCTGTTGATTTACACTGAGGTGTTAAAATTGGTCATTAAGGGTATGGTGAAAGTCTTCAAATGTTGTCTCTCCTTTTGTTTCTTTTTGACCAAATCTGCTTCAGAATGTAAATTTTGAACACCTGTATGTGTGTGTTTGCTGCAGGTGCTGGCCACGGGTCTGTCCGGTCTGTACTCGTCTCTTCCGGCTCGGCTGCAGGTTTACAGCGAGGACTGGCACTCTCTGGACCAGGCGGACTGGCAGCAGGTAACAACCACAGCGCTGGGGTGACAGGATGAAATCATGAATGAGTGAACCTGTGAGAGAAACCAAAAGTAGTGTCTGGACTTGTACCTTCGTGTGTGGGGGGTGTATTTCTGTTGGTGCCTGGGAGGTTTCAGTTTTAAGCCATTTAAGCAAAGTTTGTGGTTTTCCTCATTACTTCAGAGGACTGAAGATGAAGAGCTTCCACTTTAAGTACACTTAATCTGTACTATGCTCAAGCATGAATGCCTTCCTTCCTGACTTGGCAAGACAACTAATTTTCCAGTATATCAATGCAACACTTGTGTAACAGCTATGCAACGGTAATCCTAAATCTAAAAAGTGATATGTGCAGTATAATATGCACAAGTATGCGTTAGATAAATGTATGAAAAATGAAACTATATTAATTAATTATACAAGTTAGTAACAGAATTAATGAGAATAAATGAATGAACACTTTGTGTTTGGGTCAACAGGTTCCTGCTCTGGTCCACTTTTTGCACTCTCTGGACTTTTGTAGTGCTGTTACCAAGGTAACACACACACACACACACACACACACACACACACACTTTATTTTTACTCTGTAAGTGTACATCTTTGTTTCCCTCAGGTGGCTCATCCGTCCATCCGCTCCCAGCTGCTTGGTTACATCTACAATGGCTTCCTTGTGCCTGTACTTGCTCCGGCTCTGCACAAGGTATCACATTTCATCCCGACACTGTAAAAAATGTTCCTGATAAGGTGCCGTAAAGTACAGGCAGCAAACCAAAAGAAATCTACAACAGGAACAGTTGCCTGTTATATAAGACAGAGTTTTAAAGGATGATACTGTCAGAGGTTTTGGTTACCAAACACAGTTATGTTGGTCTTCCTGCTGTAATAACCATAAATACTTTATTTATTCATGCAAAAACATTACACTTATACTCTATAGAGTGTAAGTTTGACCATACAGTAATTTCAGCTGTTTTTGTAGCCACTAAAGTTATTAAAGTGACCAGACAGGACATTTATTTCCTCATCTTTTACATTTAGTCACCAGTAAACATCTCACAGGAAAGCTATTAATACAGCATTTTTACTGTGATTCCAGCAGGATAAAAACACCTGCATGGAATACCTATTACTTAATCCCATCCTAGTGTATGTGATCATTTGTCTGTCTGTGAGTAGCTGACGGTGGAGGAAGTGATGACTACCACAGCATACTTGGACCTGTTCCTGCGCTCCGTCTCTGAGCCCGCCCTCCTCCAGACCTTCCTCTCCTTCATCCTGCTGCACACACATGACAACGTTCACATCCTGGACACACTGGTCAGCAGGGTCAACACACCTTTCCAGGTATCCACACAGTCATCTAATACAGCTGCTTCATGCTCTGTCATGCAGTAAATGACCTTTGACCTTTTGCATGTCCTTCAGTTGGGCACGGTGTCGCTGGCTCTGTTCAGGACTCTGATTGGGCTCTTCTGTGAAGATGTCATGCTGCAGCTGGTCTTCAGGTCAGTCTAACAGCAACTCACAGACACACATCTTTTAATTAGTGCTAATAAAATATTACAGTTTCACTAAAACTGGAACTTCACTGCAGAAAATGTATTATTTAGACGCTCCATTTAAAACACCAGCAGCACAAACACTCTATCTATGATGGTAATACCTCACTGATCATTGTCAGCTACAGCTTCCTTTATTGACTTACTATAAAGCATTTTAACATGGGGAAACTGCACCTGTATGCCAGTTGTGTATAACATGCTTGGACTGAGTGTAACTGCTCTATGTCTCCTCAGGTATCTGCTTCCCTGCAGCCACCTGAGCAGGAAGCAGCGCTGCTTCTTAAAGCAGAGGGACTGTTACTCCTCCAGTGCTGCCTCCTTCCTACTGCTGATGCCCTCCTGGTGCCCTTTGCAGCTCCAAAACTCACTCACACACTCAGAGCACATCCACTGGCCCAAAGGAACCGGTCAGTATGTTAGCGGGTAACTGCTTATTTATACATTAGCTTTGGCTGTACTGACCTGTTCCTCCTGGACTGTCTGTCAGATCTGTCAGTGTCAGACAGCGTTGGTTACTGTCGTGGTTCAGACTTCCTGATGGATGTAAACTACCTCCATTACCTCTGGGATGCCCGTCAGGCTATCTCCACTGCCCGCAGGTTAGTGTGCCTTTCTTCTTCTTCTACAAAAAGACTATGGTTCAGCCTGGGTCTGATTACTAAAATTAAATGTGATTTGGGTTGTTTCTCATAACTGGTGTTGCATTGCACCACTTACTGGGAAACATGCAGCAAACCAGTGTGAAACAGTGAAAGTGGTTCATAGTGTTATAGTGACATCTGCTGGTCAACATATGCTATTAAATTTGTACTAAAAACCTTGATTGTTGTTATTGTATTCACTGGTGGTTTTAAAGTTCATAGTTTTGCTTTTCAAACTACAATTAGATAAGCGCGTACTGAAAACCAGCAAGGCACATCTAAGGTAGGAGGACTGAGACATTTGTGGTAATAGATAAATGTTGCCACAATAATGAGTTTGGTCTTTTATCTGATACTAAAACCAAAATCAAACAAAAAAAGTGCACTCCTTATCGTTGTAATCTTAGGTGCAGGAAACAGACTAATAAAAGAAACGAGAACAACAGCTTACAGCCACGCTAAGACTGAGCAACACTTTAAGTTACATGCTAATGCTTACTTGTTTATACTCTTTGTTTTGTGGGTTGGCATGCAAATATCTGATAATGGTTGGCTAATGGGAATGCCATTATTGTTTCAGATCTGAAAGTCTTAGTGTAAAAGTTTGCATAAATACATACTTTTAAGCCTCTGCGGGGGCAGACCGTGTGTGGGTGTGTGAGGACCCAGGAGCAGACACAGGTGAGGAGACCAAAACTAACTTGAACAAAAAGTGAGCCTTTTATTATGGCTGATAATCAGGGCAACAAAACAAGGCAGTAAGCACGGAGGCAAAACTAAACTGGAACCTAAACTGGGGAAAACTGAAAACTAAGAAAACTGAGACTTCACTATAAAGACTAGGAAGACAATGACAAGGTCACTGTGACGACTATGAACAGGACTTCGTGCAGGAACATGAAGGAACTATAAACTTATACGTGAACAAGCAACATTACCTGCACAGAGTCCTGAAACCTGACATGACATGAGGGGTGACGCACAGTCGACACGACGCTGAACACAGGAAGACAGAGGACTTAAATACACACATGAGGTGATCAGGGGATGTGGAGATACATGAGGACACAGCTGTGACACTACTGACTTTTAAACTACCATCCTAATGTTGTGTGTGTCGTGCCACGCTCGGGACACGCTTGTGTCCCTACCTTTACCAATCAGAATATGGGCTCAAGGTCATGGACTGCCTTGCACTGGGTTTCATCACTTCCATCCATGATCAATCCAATGAATGGATTTGACTGGGATCTTAGTATTTATAATGTTAATTTAGAGCATTGCTGTGACAGAGCCCTGTGGTTATGATTTGGGAATTTTTTGAATTTAAATAAAAGTTATACACTGAGTAATTTCAGAGAAGTTTATGGAATCTATATATTTTTTTCTTTGTTGGCAGGTCTTGCCGTTTATGGTCGGCTTCTTATGATGGCATCAACCCTCCACTTCAAGAGTATCGATCTGATACACCTGGTAACAACATGGAAGACGAGGAAGAGTTCATGCAGCGAGTCAAGAGTGACTCCATCTGCTCACTGGTTATCAGTCCTCCGCCCTCTGCCCTCTCCCCTACACCATCCTCTTTAGATAACAGCCAAGCGGGCAGAACCAGCTCCGCCCTTGAACTGGAGTGGGATGACATTTTTGCAGATGACAATCCCTTGCCTTCAGCTGTGGTAAACGTGGTGCTGGCGAATGGGGATCTATCATTGGATGCAGATACATGCACATTTCCACCAGCACCTCCCCCACTGCCTCCTCGACACATCCAGGAAATGCGGCGCAATGCAACCAAGCTGGTGCGCGGCTCTTATGTTGAAGAATCCGAGTTTCAGGATGATGTTCTTGTCTATGATCTCATTGCTAAAAAGGACGCAAAGGCAGCCATTTTGGATCGGATCATGCTGGCAAATCGCCAATCCCGTGGGAGCATCTCGAAAGGACAGCGAGTTTCAGCAACAGCGACAACATTAAC